GCATGGGGGGGGGGGGGGTGGGGGAAAGTTTCCTCTCCCAAAAGAACAAAATGAATTAGGAAAGACTGCATTTATATGCAATATGCTATTTTTTTAATGAGATAGAGCCTGCTGGGCGACTACTGGTATTTAACAACCAGGGGCGGATCCAGAGATGTTCGAAACTGGGCCGATCGAGACAACACGTCCTAGGGGGTCCGGGGCATGCACCCGCGAAATTTTTGTGTTCTAGACGCTCGAAAATAACATTTGAGACGTTCTGGGCTATCATTTTTTCTTTTTCTTTCTTTGTTTCTTTTTTTACCTCCCAAAAGTGGGGGGGGGGCGGGGCCGGGCAGCCCCCCACCCCTAAATCCGCCCCTGAATAAAGAAGAATTAAAGGAGTCATCCTCATCATTAACCATCGTCCTTTGCTTCCCCACCATATCATCACCAACCATCATTATCATCACCAACACCATTACAATTAATTATTTGAATTATCATCATCAAAATAATAATAATTATTATTATTTTGTTATTCATTTTGTGTTATATTTTGTTATTTATTTTATACAATCTACTATTTGATAAAATTACAACATTGTGGTTAAAATATTTCTCAAATAGGCCTACTAGTCGGAATAATGTATTTTTGTGTATTTACACCACTTGTATTATCGCTATTACAGACTGGACACTTATTAAATATAGAAGCTCTTTTGTTACCCATTTGATACCTACTTGGTTATTTAACAATACAGTACTATTAAAACAAATAGTGGTATCAAATGAAGGCCACGTTATTAAGCATTTACATTTACACTAATGAGTTTACTTGACATTCCGCCTGCATCTTTGAAACAGACTCTTTAGAGATTAACACTATCTAGGTCTATATTCATTTGCTTCATAATCATCCATCTGGTGATCATCTTCAGTCTGATATTACCAAACATGGCAAATAATAGCAAGCCAGTCCGCGTTATGATGTGGTCGACGCCAAGGAGTGTTTCCACTGCAATCGAAAGGTCAATTCTGACACTTGATGAAGCTGAGGTTTTCAACGAGATGTACTCTGCTGCACACCACTTTGGACCAACTTCAAATCATTTTCCATTAAATTATTTTCCTTTGTCACCCAAATTTTCTTTCAAATGGGTCAAATCTGAACTTGAAAAAGACTACCCCGGTAAAGAAGTGATATTTGCCAAGGACTTTGCGTATGCTCTTGGGGAAGACCTGAGTTTGCTGCCTACCGGATATACTCACACCATCTTAATTCGGAACCCATGCTCAGTGCTCAGGTCAATCAATCATGTAATAAAGAACTCATATTTCTTAAGCTTGACCGGCGGCTCATTGAAGAAGCACTATCCAGGGACAATATTTTTCAAGGAGCTCTGGGATCTATACGTCTATGCCAGAGACACGCTTCATCAGAATCCCGTTGTCATTGACGCCGATGACTTCTTGGAAAACCCTGAAGCTATGATGAAGTTATATTGCGAAAAGACAGGAATACCGTTTCGGGATTCTATGTTAAGTTGGGAGCCAACCAATATATGGAGTATAAACTGGCATAGCTCTTATGCTTTGAGCTTTGCTGCTTGGATGCTTGGGTACTACGGGAAAGCACTTAACAGTTCTGGGTTCCGGAAAGCAGATAAACCGAAAGAGAAGGTCGATATGAGTACAATGGATGATGACTTACGCGAAGCAGTTGAAGAGAATATGGAATATTATGATATGCTTTATACTAATAGATTAGTATTAAATATGGAATAGGTACCGTAAGGTCGCACTGTGATAATCTACACACATTTTGTATTCCATTTGCCAGGATAGCTACGGTACTTTAGGGAAATTGCTCACTTCTTTCAATTTAAATAAGGTTTATGATTATATTAAATATTGATGTTAACAAAATTGATGTAATACATCATACATAAATCGTCGTTGTGTATAATTAAATTTCAAATAAATAGACATCATAAAAGCAAGATTTTTTGGTTTTAGTTTTTGTTTGTTCATACTAATATTTAAGTATGTTCTGTTAGGCAAGGTAAAAGTTGAATTGAAACTTGCTCATTCTGATTTTCTCTAAATCTGCGATAGTCTGTCAAGTTCTGTAGGGACACCCCGCTTTTGCGTGTCCTTATTATAAGTAAAGTGTCCTACAGTTTAAAAATACAGTGTGACAAATCAACTTAATCTTATTAGACTAAATATTTTGGATTAACTCTAAATCAAGAAAATTGTAAACTCACTTTTAAAAGGTCAGTGGCAGGTAAAACATTAAGAACACTGGATAAAATTACCAGGTACAATCTTGATGTGGAAGATTTTTACTTATCCAATTTGTGAATGTTGTTATTTTTACTTATCATTATATATGTCATAAATCACTACCACCGAGATCTGAAGAATAGATTAAAGTGCATCGACTGTACCATGTACCATTTTTAATTTTGAGTTTAGTTCTGCACTTTTATTGTTTGCCTGTGTAAATGTAATCTTTATGTACTCTCAGTGGCGTATCTAGAGG